TTAGCAGTCCAAGAATCCATAGCGAGGGGGATGCCAATTTTACTAGCAATATGACTTAGGCCTTCATCATTCCACGCATCATAGGGGATATCATGGATTCTAACCCAAAGAGGGATTTTGTCATGCAAATTTGAATTCAAGTTTAGCCCCGGCCGCCACCTTTGAATAAAAATAGGGATATTTTTAAAGCTCCACGGCCCATTATCAATAACATTTTGAAGCCCCTCAACGGAATTGAACTTAAACAAAAAAATGCCGTGACCATTTAGGAGGACATCCTCAAGCCCAAATTGCGCCCATAATTTGGAAGCATAAAAGCGGACAACCGGGAAAGGGAGTCTTCTACCAACAAAATAACCACATAACGTCTTAGCATACGTTTCACAGCTTTTTTTCACAACCGAAATTGGAATATCAATAGGAGTGTCAACATTTTCATTTAGACAAGGAATAAAATGAAAGTTTTCATTAGTATGCTTATTTGACCCACTAAGCACATGAGCATAAGAATTAGGGAGGATAGAAGAGTTTTTACCATTCCAAGCATTTTTTGACTTGGAAACATGCAAACCATTTTTTAGAGAAGAAGAGGGATAAGGAGAGTTAGAAGAAATATTTTTTCCAAAAGAAATATTAAGCATATCAATAGGCAGAACATCTAGCAAAGGGGACGGGGGCGATGCATGCATGGGAGGGGGAGGGGGAGGCACATGCACACATGGAGGGGGGGATGCAGCAAAAAAACTAGATGAGGAAACAGAAACATCAAGGGGGCTGTTTTGCATAAAGTTAGAAGGTATAGGGGGGGAAAAGGAAGAAGAAATCAAACCAGGGGGCCTGCAGTGAATGGGCTTAGAGGCCTGCATCTCAACCAGATGGGCTGTCTTCAAACCGGAAACAGGGCCTGGGGGCCTGCCGAGAATGGAAGTCTGGACGCAGTCCACTTCCATTTGCGAATGGGCTTTAATAATAGAGGGAATAGGCCCAGGAGGAGAACCAAGTATAGAAGAAGGCCCATCAGAAAATAGCAAGGAGTCTCCCATAATTGGGTTACAGGCGACGTCCTTTGCTTGGCCCAAAACCGCATTATTTTTTCTAGACTGCAAACAACCATCATCACCAGCCTTTTTTTGGGGAACCACCAACTTTTCTTTAGTCAAACTAGATAACCCTTGAGTATGGACAATATCCATAGAGTAATTAAAATCTCCTTGAGAACCCATCTCATGCAAGCTGTCAACAGTACAACCACCATCCTCCTTGCCTAATAAAATAATATTATTAGCAATATTATCCAAAGGACCATATCTATCTTCCATACCCAAAGGACATGTAGGCACAACTCCCCCCATGCTAGCTTGCGGCCATGAAGACACCCCACCATCCTCTCTAATAGTGTTATCCGTACTATCCTCATTAAGAGCCTTCTGCATCAATCTTGACTTTTCCTTCTCTTCTTCAATACAGCTAGCCATGCAATTATAATTTATCTCTTCCACTATAGAAGGCCGTACAGCAGCAGACCCATGCCTATCACCCATCTGCATCAACCTTGACTTTTCCTTCTCTTCTATATTAAAACTAGCCATGCAATTAAAATTTAAATCTTCATCTGATGGAGGCCGTACAACAGCAGAACCCACAACGGCCGGAAAAGAAGTTTCTTGCATGGGAAAGCTAAAAAACCCAGCTATGTCCACAGTGTTTTCAGAGCAAGGTGGGTTACCAAACATGAAAACATTTTGACTTTTGTGACCGTTCAACAAAGTGACCGTTGGATCATCATTCATGGCGATCAAGCATGAAGAATTTCCAGGCGAAGATGGACCAAGAGGACGATCAAGCATCATACTATCTTTAGGGGCAGGAGACTTATCTTCATGGGAGAAAGCCACCTCGTTATCTTTTATATCAATGGGACAACTAAATAGAGAAGGGGGAATGCTACAAGAGGACCCCGGCTGAGCATGGGCGACAGTCACCGGCAGCAAACCAGAAGAAGCTTTCACCGAGGAACCCAGACCTTCTTCACCAGACGAACCAGACTCGTGAGGGAGAACCACTTGGTTTTTACACACAGATGCCACAAGTCCTCCACTTACGGGATTAGATAGTCGATAGTCATGCAAGATATTATCGTCAATAGCATGAACATCTTCCGGTAGAGAGTTTTCCAGCCTAGAAAAAGAACGAATAGAAGGGAGAACAAGATTTCCAYCTTCTTCTTCTTCCTCATCAACATGACTCCTTCCACCATTAAAATCCAAGGCATCTGAAACCTTAAGGGGAGAAGGAATATTGATGGGATTATCATATTCCACCATATTCAGATTAGAGCAAGGAATAGAACGATGAAAACACACCTTTTCCAATCTTCTTAACTTGCAATTTTCTTCAAAATTTTCAACAAGTCCTTGAAGAGATCTTGGAAGAGGATTAGAAAACTTTACACGATGAATCGGCATACGAGATTTCCTTGTTTTCCTATGCATTGATTCTGCAACTTGATGATTGTTATCAGACATGGAACGAAAAAGACCAAGAAAATTCACAAAATCCACCAAAAAGCTAGAGAGAAAATCTTAGAGAGAGAAAGTAGAGAGAGAAAAAAATCAAGCAAATGAATTTCCTTGGGGTTTAGGGTTTAGGGGTTAGGGTTTAGGGTTTAGGGTTTAGGG